AACAAAGATATTTCTATTTTCAACCTTCTGAAGAAGCGCCATATTGCTTTTCAGAGTGGTTGGACCATTTTTCATTCCCACCAGGAATGTAGGAGGGTCTCAGTCACTCCACATCCTTGCCAGCATTTATTGTCCTCTACTTTTTTGATCTATGCTATCATCGCTGGTGTGAAATGATATCTCGTTGTTTTGTTGGCATCTCTAATGACTAGTGATCGTGAACATTTCTTCATATTTTTGTTGGCAACCTAGATCTCCTCTTTGGTGAAGTGTCTGTTCATGTCCTATGCCCATTTTTCAATTGGGTTATTTGCCTTTTTCTTGTAGAGGTGTTGTAGTTTCCTATATATTTTAGAAATTCGTCCCTTGTCCGATGTGTCATTGAAAAAGATTTTTTTCCCATTCTGTGGGCTCTCTTTTTACTCTTTTGGTGAAGTCTTTTGATGCACATAAGGTTTTAATTTTTAGTACATACCAATCATCTATTTTGTCTACTTTTGTTTGTGTTATTATCAAAATATTTGGTAGTCTGTATATGCCCTGTATTAGAGCCTCATATTTGTCACTATTTTTTTCATTGATGGCCTTTATAATTCTGGGATTCACATTCAGGTCTTTAATCCATGCTGTGTTGGTTTTTGTGTAAGATGTGAGGCAAAGGTCTTGTTTCTATCTTTTGTATATCACTTTCCAGTTGTGCCAGCACCGTCTGTTGAAGAGACTATCTCCTCCCCGTGCAATATACTTAGGCTCTTTGTCAAAAATCAGTTGGCTGTATGTGGATAGGTTAATTTCTGGATTGCTGATTCTATTCTATTGATCAATGTATCTTTCATTATACCAGTACCAGGTTGTTTTGACCACTGTAGATGTATAGTAAATTTTGAAATCAGGGAGTGAGAGGTTTCCAACTTTATTCTTCTTCTTTCAACTCTACTTTGAAGAAACAGCTCATCCCTAACTGTGTTTTGATTGCTTTCCAACCTGAGTGGTTCATCTTCTGGCACTATACCTGACAAGTTCCCACCACTACTCAGAAGGTTTTCAGTGGCTAAGCATTTAGAAGTAGTCTGATTCTCTTTCTTCCTAATCTGTATTAATCTGAAAGCTCCACTGAAATGTATCCACCATGGGTGACCCTGCTGGTATTTAAAATATTTAAAATCACAGCCACATGCAAGCTACCACTGTCCAACAAACTTACAGACAAGTGGTGAAGCTAGAGGGTTGACACTTGTTAACTTGAGTGACAGAGGAAGGTTAAAAAACAACGAAAGGCACATTGTTGTTATTTTGAAGAGGAATATTTAAAGGACAGGACCAAGGATTCTGATTTTATACTGTAGAGATTACAGGAGATGAAGGCTGTTCATCAGGGAAGGAACATAGTTTCTTTGTTTAAGACTGGCTGAAAGAATCACACATAGAGATTCTTATGCTCTATATGCTATTTTTGTGTGTCAGTGAGTCAATTTCAACTCATAGCAAGCCTATATAACAGAGGAAAACTGCCCAATAGGATTTCCTGGGTTGCAAATCTTTAAAAGAGCAGACACCTACGTCTTTTTCCCTGCATAGGCACCAGTGAGTTTGAACATTGAACCTTTCAGTTAGCAGCAGAACACTTAACATTCCTTCACCAGGGTTTCTTTGGGTGTCATACAGACCTTCTTAGTCAAAGTGTCTGAAAGAGTAAGACCTAGATATCTTTCTTTTTAATTTTAAATACGTCACAAGTGAGTTTAGCCATGGTTAAGAACTATTGGTTTAATCTTTTCAAGACCGAATCATTTTCCTACTTTGAGTTGTTGTTGAAATACTGTGTTTTCAGTAATGAATGAAATGAAGTGATTTTTTATATATATATATACTATCATTGGAACATATATGTCCCAAGGGAACTCTAGTGCTGGAGTTGGTAGAATAAAACGTGCTTCCTCAGATTCATGCAGTTATACAGGCTCCCACCAGATGGTTACACTCACTAAAAGTGTGTTGTTGTTGTTGTTAAGTGTCATTGAGTAGGTTCCAACCCATAGTGACC